CGGGGCTTCGCCCCTGGACTCTAAGATTTCGTTGCATTCGTAATATAAAATAGTATGTGCAATTCGTGCGGTTGTTTATTGCCCACTTAAGCTAATGAGCGCACTCACTTCGTTCGTGCGCTCCTCTCTCGTGGGCAATAGACAACTTACCGCACTTATTGCACAATATACTATTTAAAAAAGTGACATTTAAATGACAGTTGATAGTTATTTATAAATATTTTGTATAATGAATATAATTTAAAACATACACAAATTGAATAATATGCAATATATGCAAATAATCATAATAATTTTTATACCGAACAAGCAGTTGGTTCATTTTATTTTGGAAAAAATTAAATTGGAATAAAAGTCACTTATATAAAATCGTATATTGTAAAACAAAACAATCGTGATTAAATCTTTAATGAATAAGAAACCAATTCTGAACGTTCCAATGCCTGTTACAACTAATCAACTATAAACAAATCAGCACATGTATTACAGGGGTCATTTATACGGGGTCTATATTTAATCTTTGGAAACATACCATAACTTTATTTTCTCAAATTGTGTCGTGAAAATTGATTACTTTTAACCTTTTTTTTGTAATTTTCATGCCCCGCCGTTACAATCTTACAAACATTTTGTTGGTACTTGTCGGCCAGGATAACCATGTTATGATCCATGATTCGGTCATCTGCGACTATTTATAGGCCACCAAAGATACACTACGCTCCTATACAGACCCTAAATAGCTTGTACATAAAGCCAACGGTCAACGGAGGCTAGCCTCCCTTCGTAAGCATTCGGATCAGGATCGGATTGTGCTTAAATTTAAACAGCATGCAGCGTGTACCCTTGACCATTTGGTTGCGACTTGCGTTCAGCTAATATAGTTCAGTTAAACTAGGTCAATGTCAGAGGACATTAACACTGATAATTTTGTAGAGAATACATACCAATATTAGTTTATATGTATTTAACAAATCATTTAAAAAACTGTAATTACAAAATAAACTGTTTTTGTAATGTTCGGCGGTTTGTCCAGTTGACGTCAAACAAATATGGTAACTTTGAAATAATACACTACTAAATTATAAAAACTGATCCCCACATAAAGTTGCACCCTGTAAGGGAGTATGTATATCACGCCTTATACTCTTCTGTTACTTAGTTTCAAGAAAGTGCGCATTATTGCAATTTTCGATATTACTCGACAAACAAAATGGGTTAAATTAAATTACTGAAGAAGTAGCAATATATTTAGAACGAAAACCTAATATAATTTTTTTTAGGAACACACTGACAGGTTTTTGATGGGTTTGCCTCTAACAATAAAAAAGATATGGCCGTTTTAAGAACCTCCCATAAGTATAGTGTATTAGAAAGAAACTCGGGAGAGATTAGTTGGTTGCTAGGCCACCAAGATAATACCCTGCATAAAAGAGGCATATATCAACCCACATAAATTTCTAAAATATATTGACCAAGTTGGTACACAATTAATTATTCTAGATTTTTATCGTGTCTTATGTGTTATATTAAATTATTGTATGATTGTCTTTTGATGGCATCCGAAACTTTCCAGGTTACTCCAGAAACTGAGAAGTTGGTCATTAGGACAGCTCGCAAAGTCCCAAAATTGGGTGTGATGTTGGTGGGATGGGGTGGCAACAACGGATCGACCTTTACCGCTGGTCTCATTGCCAATCGTTTAGGGTTGTCTTGGCCTACCAGAAAGGGAGTTCAAAGAGCCAACTGGTTCGGTATGTATTCATTAATTCTCTTCCTCGTTTTATCACTCAAGTTACGAAAGGTATTAGAAAAAATATTTATCTGTGACATACACTGCCATAAAGTACTACGGTTTTTCGGGTTGCCGTGCCGATGCTGTGGCCTATGTACCTGGTCGCCTCCCAGTTACAGAATTATCATTCGCTTCTTTAGCCTTAACTAGGAATCTTTGACATGCCTTTGTTATTCTCGGACTGGGCTCTGTGAGGGCGAAATGGACATCTCATGGACCTACATTGTCTGTCTGAGGAGCTGCTCCGTTCGTAGCGGCTTTAGAACCATCAAGAACTGAAATGAATATCAGGACGGGCCCATATAAATTTCTAATAGCGGGTCCGCTCAACATGATTTATATGCACAGTATACTCATATGTTGGATTTCAGATAACAGAAGCATATTCTAATATAATTCAAATATAAGCGTTGAATAAAAAATATATAAAATGATACGCAAATGAAATATATTGCTTATACGAGGATAAATCAAATATAAACAGAATTTCTATTCCTGTTCCTGAGCGTCTACGGTTGATAGGACTGGGCCCGCGCTTTTAGTATGCTTGGGTGGGGTCATTAGGAGTGGGGAGAGCCGGCCATTCCACACTACCAATCAATTTATCAGTAACGCTTGCGCTTGGGATGTCGAAGTAAAGGTGCAAATAAATTAAGAGGGAACAGAAACGAACGAACGAAGCAACGAATTCGTAGATATTTGCTCGTTCATTTGATCTCTGCAAGTAGGAGCATGTAAATTAGAGAGAACTTTCGCAATCGTCGATGATCCGTTCGCAATATCAGATACAAATGAGGATCTAAAGGTGCATTTAAATTAGAGCGAACAAAAACGAACGAACGCAGCAACGAATTCGTAGGTATTCGCTCGTTCGTTTGTTCTCTGCAAGTAGGAGCATGTAAATTAGAGCGAACTTTCGCAATCGTCGATGATCTGTTCGCAATGTCAGATACAGATGAGGGTATAATAATTAACACCGCTAGTTTTAGTTATTTCGGGACATTTCGAAAAAAAAAGAAAGAGGAGGTGGTGTTCTAATTTGTTAAAAAAAGCAAAACGAGAGGTGAAGCTTTGTTAACGAACTTAACGAGTGGCAATTTGGGCCAAGTTAGAAATTTCCGTAGAATGTCTATGAAAGATTTTGAATTTTTGTTGCATTTGATTGGGACAGGCATTTCTAGAAACGATACAAGTTTCAAAAAAGCATTTCAGTTTAGCAAATGCATAGCCATTCGTAAATTCACTCGCTACTAACTACACTGTCCACATTGAGCTCCGATTTCCTTTGATGATTCGCTGATTTACCGATAGGCCTTGGAACATCCACGAACACGAACAAGTTCGCTCGCTCCTGTTTTATTCTCCAAACGAATTCATTCATTCACTTCTGTTCACTCTAATTTAAACGCACCTTTCCTCTGCGCAACGCATAATTATAAAATTTTCCGGAGAGTGACTGCACAGTGCGGGGACCAAACATTGTCAAAAGGATTCGTATGTTTACCTTGTATAGAGTTCAAGGATGGACGAGAACAAATGGAAGACAACCTACGGGTAGAGTATCCGGAATTGCAGAAAAGGTTGGAATAAGTTATAGGAGCTGTCAATCAATCGTCACAAACGACCTACAGTTCCGTAAAGTGTGTGCCAGGTGGGTCTCTCGCCTTTTGACCACAAATCAGAAACTGAGACGTTTGGAGGTATGTCAGAGGCTTACAGCAAGGTGATGCGTTTTTGAGTCGGATCGTCATCACCTGTGGCAAAACGTGGGTCCACCATTACACTCTCGAATCGAAACAAGCCAGTATGAAGTGGCGGAGGAAAAGGGAGGCAGTCTCAGTGAAAGCCAAAACTCGACTGTCAGCTAGCAAAGTTCTTTCAACCATATTTTCGACGGGTGAGACATTTTGCTCATTGACTTTTTGGCATGAGCCAAGCACAATCAATGCTTCTTACTATTGCTAGCTGTTGAACAAGGTGAGGACTGCGTATCGCCGCAAAAAACGAGACCAACCAATTCGAGAGGCCATCCTCCACGACAACGCCAAGCCCCGTACTTTTCTCTAAACGGTCTCAAAACTAGAAAAAATGCACTGGACCCGACTTGATCATCCTTCCTATAGCCCGGATCTATCGCCCTGCGATTTTCTTTTCTTTTGGATGCTTAAAGAAGCTCTGGGAGAGCAACGATTTGAAGATGACTAGGGCGAGGAGGGATTTGTGCCCAATTGGCTCTTGATGCAACAAGCTTCATTCTACGATGCTGCGATAAAAATCCTTCCTTCTCGCTAGAAAAATATTTCTAAAGCAGGAAGCTATGTAGAAAACTAAATTATATTTGCCTTACCCTCATATATTATGTTGATTTATTTGCCACTTTGGTATTATAGATTGTTTTGAAGTTTAATCACGTCGTCATTTCTACAAACTGAAGTGAATAATTGTAAGTCAGCACAAAGCCTACAACATAACTTAGAACAACATTAAAAAGCAATGGTCCTAATACAGAGCCTTGAAGCACCCCGAGAGAAACGACAATTTTACCTAGATAGTAGTAAGTTGCAATATTATACAAATTGGTACATACCTATCATTAAGATATATGATTTAAACAAATTTTTATGCTAACTTGTTTAATTGTTGCGGTGAAGTGGTTTGGTATATTGCGGCAAAAGCAAAAACGTCGATCACATTAGGTATGTAAAAAATAATAAATTAACTTCAGTTACACGTCCTGAAATAAAACATTGTTGATGGAAACTTATCTGCAATAGATTGAATCGAAGAGGAGGGTTTCAAAAGCTTTTAAGTACCAAAGTTTAAATTGATTCAAATAGGAGGGTTTCAAAAGCTCTACCACAGTTATTTAATATTACAGTTGGATGTTTTCTGTATATTTGGATATACAGAATATTGTACAGTACACAAAGAGCAGACAAAACTATTGCAAAATCTTAGAAAAGAAACACTGAAATCCATTCACAAAGCAACCAAAATCCAACACATTCTCTGCGACTGTAACTTCTCTTATCTGGACCGCCTGTCAGATAGTCCAGATTTAACTGAATTCTTTTTTATTCAAGAATTTGAAAAAACACCTCGGTACATAATTTTGTGACACTAACAAGTTGAAAGGGATGCCCATTTTGTAGTAGAACTATATATTTTTTTTTGATGAATTAAAGTTGTTGCAGAGCAGGTGCACAAGTACGTTAGTATCGACATAGATTACCTACGTTAAAAAATAAAATTTTCTAAAAAAAAGTCTTTCGTTGTTAAAGAAACAACTTTTCTAATGCCGTCATAGTTTCAGTTTCCTTACATAATGTCAATCATATTTTTTTTCAGGGTCGCTTTCGCAGGCTGCGACAGTGCGATTAGCAGATAACATTTATGTCCCCTTCTCTCAGTTGTTGCCAACTGTTCATCCTGATGATATAGTGGTGGATGGGTGGGACATAAGCTCTCTCAATTTAGCAGAAGCTATGGAGAGAGCACAGGTGTTAGAGCCAGCTCTCCAGCAGCAACTGAAGCCACTAATGCAGGGGTTGAAACCAAGACCATCAATTTATTTATCAGAATTCATTGCTGCCAATCAGGTATGTAGAAAACATACAGGGTTATTTTTTACTTACAATTTTTCCACTTCTTGATCTGTGGTATCTTCAGCAATAAATTCGCATCTTTTCCATAAATGAATTTCTGTATAACATGTCATAAAGTAAAGTGAATAATGACGTTTATACTGAAAGATTCAGAGCTAGGAACTTGTTCACATTTACATTGACAATTCTGCCAACACTGGCCAATAATACCGTCTGCAAATATGTCACTGTACCGACAAATTGTAAGCTGTATTGCGTAATATAGAATTTCAAACTATTTGCTTTTGTCGATTACAATTGTAGTCGACATTTGCATTTAAATATCATTTTGTTTCTTATTTTAGAAATCTCGGGCAGATAATGTAATTAGTGGCACAAAGGAAGAACAATTAGAGCAGATCATGAACGATATTGCTCAATTTAAAAACTCGACCAACGTAGACAAAGTCATAGTATTGTGGACTGCAAATACAGAATGTTTCAGCAATGTTATAGAAGGTGTAAATGACACAGCTGTAAACATAAAGGCAGCTATTGCCAAAGGCCACCCAGAAATTTCACCGTCAGTATTATTTGCGTATGCGTCCATCGCGATGGGTTGTACCTACATCAACGGGTCTCCTCAGAATACCTTCGTGCCAGGAATAATAGAGTTTGCTGAAAAACGAGGTGTGTTCATTGCTGGAGATGACTTTAAATCCGGACAGACCAAGATTAAAAGCGTTCTCGTGGACTTTTTGGTTGGAGCTGGCATCAAACCTGTCAGTATCGTAAGCTATAACCATCTGGGAAATAATGATGGTAAAAATTTGTCATCACCCAAACAGTTTAGATCCAAAGAGGTGAGTACAATGAAGATGTCAAAGCAATGCTGCAATTTTCACACAATTAAGTGCAATATTTACAGTCACTATTCAAAATGTAAATAATATTCTGAGATAGATTTATCTATCTCTGTTCATTGAAATTTTCGTATATTCTTTCCATTTTTTAATTTTTTAATTCTAATTTTGTTGAAGAGCGCGCTTAATTTTCGAATTGTGTTAACAAATTACTGATGACATCGGTTATCTTCCAGATTTCTAAGAGTAATGTTGTTGATGATATGGTAGAGTCAAACGATATTTTGTTTTCTCCAGGAGAAAAACCAGACCATGTTGTGGTGATTAAGTATGTTCCATACGTAGGTAAGCATAAGCAAAATGATCAAGTTTTTCCTTTATGTATTATCAAATATTAAGGACCCTTAATTTTCTTTTAACAATTTTCCAATTCTTGCGGAATGGACAACAATAGAAATGATATATTATATAATCATATAGTGAAATTATTAGAAGTCCCTTAGAGGTTGTTAATTAATAATTAAAATTTGGCGCGCAAAATTGTTTGAAATGACTGTTTGCTGCCGCGCTAATTTGAGACGTCATTTAGTGCGATTGAGAATCGAAAATATGAATGACAAGAACAGGAGTATAATAAATAACAAAAGTTCTAGATCTAGAGACAGCCAGTTTGTGCGTTTCTTAAATAGATTAGGTTCTTTATCGTTGGCGTAGAAATTGTAGACAAGACGCCATATCGCCGATGCAGGTTGTGTTGTCGGTCGCACTAAATCACATCATACTGCATTCTTGATCACGTGACGAAATTAAAATTTCTACATAGCTTTAAACATCTGTAATTAATTTGTAGACAAAGAATGCATTTTACTAAGTAAGTACAGGTTTTAGTCAATATTATAATTATATTTCTAATCTGTCGATGNGATATGGTAGAGTCAAACGATATTTTGTTTTCTCCAGGAGAAAAACCAGACCATGTTGTGGTGATTAAATATGTTCCATACGTAGGTAAGCATAAGCAAAAATAATAATCTAGTTTTTCCTTTATGTATTATCAAGTATTAAGGACCCTTTCTCTTAACAATTTTCAAATTCTTGCGGAATGGACAACAATAGAAATGATGTATATAACTTTATATAATCATATCGTGAAATTATTAGAAGTCCCTTAGAGGAAGTTAATTAATAATTAATGTTTGGCGTGCAAAATTCTTTGGAACGGGTATTTGCTGCCACGCTAATTTGTGACGTCATTTAGTGCGATTGAGAATCGGAAAGATAAATGGCAAGGACAGGAGCATAGTAATTAACAAATGTTTTAGATTTAGAGACAGTCGGTATGTGCGTTTCTTTAGATTAGGTTCATGTCGGTGTAGGAATTGTAGGTTGTGTTGTCGGTCACACTAAATCACGTCATACTGCGTTCTTGATCACGTGACAAAATTTAAATTTCTACATAATTTTAAACAACTGTAATTAATTTGTAGACAAAGAATACATTTTACCAAGAACATGTTTTAGTCAATATTATAATATTTCTAATCTGTCGATGATTTAGAATTTAGATCAAGGACATTTTTGTGTTAATATTTCCTTGATTCCTTGTAATATTGTGAAGATTTTTGTTTCATTTTTTATATCCACATTCGCCGTGACAACTATTTGTCTCTAACAATTGAATTGAGCGTAGAACACATAGTAATAGTATTTTCACGTGTTTAATTCGCACGGTTTGTATAGTTACGATGGAATTGGAACCTGTAAATCTTAAAGCACAGGTCCGTATGCACTTCTCCTGAAATTACTTCCTATGCTTTGACCATGATGTGTCTCATAATTTATGCTCGAATAGCAATTCGGCGAGTCCGGTATTGGTAAACTAGTCCGCCTGATGTAGAATTGACGGCGGCGCGCTGGTCATCAAAGCAAACCCGTATTGGTCCACTAGGTCATAAATAATTTTTTTGATTGTACACGGGTTCATTTAGCTTTGCAGCTTTGCCAGTGCAGTGCAGAACATTGCTTGGCGGGGTATGTTGTTGGTATAATAAGTAATAAGTATAAACTCAGAGTTTAAAAACAAAGATTTACACGTAAAAAATCAACGTATTATATTAAGTATATATGAATGTTTGAAAATTGAAAATAGTGAACTATGTGATAAAAAAGTTAGGAAACGGATTAACGAATTAACTAAGATATCAGAAACGAGAATTTATCCCGTAATTAAAGAAAGATTGATCACGGTACAAAGAGGAAACGGGAAAATGCAAAATTAAAGAAAATTAACGATTTTACCAGACGTAATGCGATGCACAATTTATAATATGTATAAAGAAAATAATGTTCCTACTTTAAATGTGATTCGAGATAAATTAAGCGATTATCCTGATTGTAATTATAAATCTTTAGATGTTTTACCACATACTTTATTACAATGCGATTTTAAACATAAAAAGCTTGACAATCGTATGGTAATTATATGGTAATATAGCTCGGAATATAGTATATCTAGACGAGACGGGGCTACATTTTTCTGGACATCTATGGATTCTGTAGAATTTATGAGTTAAATATGTTTTTATGTGGTTTCAATTGAGATCGTAACAACTATCATATAGTTTAAAGTGTGTGATGATTTATGTGTGTTGTCCATTAGACTTTGCAATATACATAGCTTAGAATTTAAATATTTGAACTTTTAGAAAACCTTTTACACTATTTAGTAGTAATGAGGTGTTTTGAACCGTAGGCGAAATCTTTATTCTGACAATATGTTTTTGATCATGCATGCGCGTTAGGAACATCTTTTTAAGAAAATATAAATAAATATAAAATAATTTTAGTAACTTTCGACTCTTTTTTTCTCTTTAATATATTGTTTTAAAAAATAAAAATTTTACTGCTTTTTGTTACATTTATTAATTAGTAGCCTCAAATGCCCCTCTGTTTTGAAACCACTTTTTTAATACATACATAGATAGTACATCTGATAGATAATAAAATAAATATAAACTAACTTTTACCGTAGCAATTATTTGAAACTGATTAACTGCTTGGAATCTCATTTCCAAGACAATTCGAAATAAAGAAGGAATTTATTAATAAGTATTACATTTTATAACGCTCACTAGTTACGATGTGTATAAATATAATTTTTAGGCGATTCAAAAAGAGCTTTAGACGAATACACTTCGGAGATAATGATGGGGGGTTCAAATACCATTGTGATACACAACACCTGTGAAGATTCTCTTTTAGCCACGCCGATAATCTTAGACTTGGTTATTTTCGCCGAGTTATTCTCGAGGATAACCATCAAACGAGAAAATTGGTCGGACGATGACTACACTGGTTTCCATCCCGTGTTGTCTCTGTTAAGTTATCTCTGCAAAGCACCCCTGGTGCCTCCTGGAACTCCTGTAGTCAACGCTTTGAGTAAACAGAGGAGTTGTATCGAGAATGTGATGAAGGCATGCATTGGATTACCACCAGAAGATAATTTGACTTTGGAGTACAAGGTTCCATTTTTGATGAAGGAAGTTATATATCACGAACCAGACATAAAGAAAATGAAAAAGGTTGAAAATGGTTTTAATTAGTTATTTACTGATAAGTATTTAAATGACAAAGTACCACCTACTCGTACACCATGTTTTTTTCAATAAATGTGATGAAAAAATATACCTTAATGAAGCCTAGTATATCAGTATAATAATAGGTTGAACAGTGGTTCAACATATCTCGTAAGTTTTATGTGTCGTAAAATTCTAAAACAGTGTTTTTCATTGCCGTATTTTGATCATTTCGCGAATAAGTTAAATCAAGTTGATTTATTTATACAATTTTTTATTTATATGATAAAACTGTTAATAATAGTTTTTTATAAGTAGTGGAAATTCAAAGTTACACACTATGTATATACGAGTATAGAGACCATAAGACGAGGTTTACAATGTACAAAAAAATTTATAAATTTTCTACCTACAAAAGTTGTGTTTTTCCAACGATTTCATTTCTGCTAGAGTTTACAGTGTGTCAAAAAATTATGTCCTGAAGGAGAACAACGTTATCATTTGCAAATACGTGAGAAAATATCATTCATAATAAAAATTCCTGCTTGTCTTCAAACTCTTAAAATGTTACTACTTTGTTGATTTTATATACATGGTGTAAAATTTTTTCGTAAATTTAAAAGTGGCCACCAGCAAAATCCAGTAAAAATTCATGATCTCCTAGAAATCCCAATCTGAGTGATATAAAGTATAGTAATTATTTTTTTAAAAGACAGAGTTAAAATTTCATATGTATTTTGTATTTACAATCTCCTAGAAATTACTAAGAATATCTTTTAGTGACACTTTTACATATTTCAAAAGATTGAAACCACTGCTTGAGGCCATTTTTATTATCCATTTTTATTATTACTTTTTAAATTGAATTCCCTGTATATAAAATCAAAAAATTAGTAACATTTTTAAGAGTGAAGACAAGAAAGCAGTTTTATAAATAATGACATTTTTTCGTGTTTAGAAATTATTTTTTTTTACACTGATTTAATAATGTCATATACAGTGTGTTATATGAGACATTTTCAAATCGGTGTAAAAAAAAATATCTTATCTGCCAATCATTCGATTTTTTTAAAATTACAATAGAAAATATTAAAACAAATTTCAACTAAGCTATTTTAAAAAGCTTTGTACCATTTGGAAGGAACTAACAATAATATTTTTACGAGTCAGTTTTTGTGCATCTTTATTTTAATCTAAATTCAAACTGACTGTGAATCTTAAGCAATAAATGTATCAGGCTTGGTATTGGGATGAATATGAATTATTCAGTATCCATCTGTTTTAATATAATTTTGATGCTTAACTTTAGACAGAAAAGTATGTGATACGACTTACCTGAGGCAAATGCTAAAGCTGTGCTTTTCTTTCTTTTTATAAGTTTTGTTAGTCTTTTTTTACGTATTTCATTTGTTCCTTTCTCGAATGTTCACCTTAGAATGTAAGTCACTGAAAAATTGTGATAGTAGAAATGGGCAAAACTTTGAATTTTCAGAATATCACGTGGTAGTTTGTTATCGTTGTAGCTTTTTAAATCGGTTACTTAAATAGGAAATAGGAGTACCATCTATTTCTAGATTCTTGTAGTAAATAGTAAAATATGTATTATAAAATGTTTTAATTTGAATAGGTATATAATTTACGAAATTTGTTAAAATTTAAAATTAGATTATATATTATATTTTTTACAAAATAAATATGTATGTAAAATATTTTGTTCTATTATTAATATCGCCAAATTTATCCAATCAAAATAAAGCTCTCATTTTCTTAAATTTAATAATAATGTATAGCAAAAAATATTTTTTTTTAATTACTTTATTAAAACATTTTTATCATAGGTACCTAAATAAGTATAATTAAAATGGTGTTGTAACGTTGTGACATTTTACTATACAAAAAATAATAGTGCGGGAGGTCTCTGGGAAACAATCCCCCTCCCCATTAAAAAGGAAATGTTTAATTTGTAATGTGTACTTAACTCAACTTGCAAAATTCATTTACTCTGAATACGTGGGCTCCTCATAGCTCGCCTACATCTGTAAAGTGTTTACAGCGGTGGTCATGGTCACGCAGCAGTGGAAGACGGAGTGAGAGTAGCCCATATTTACTATGCAATTTGGTCTGTTTAATTCGACCTTAACCAAATAAAAGCTATTCACCGCTTTTTTTTAATAAACGTAATTTGTTCAGGTGTGGTGTAAAATTTTGTTACTTACATTTTATTTCTTATGTATTTTTTAAAGATTGTAAAAGTTTCAATGGATTGTAGCAATTGCAAATATTGCAATACCTTCCATTGAAAAATAAATGGTGCACGAAATACCAAATTTTAATGAAAATGTAATTGAAAAGTTTATTTCAGACAAAAGTAGAAAAATGGACCGCACTATAAAAAATAGAGATGGGAAAATTCCCAAACTATGAAAATTCCTGGAAAGTTTCCATTGAAAATTCCGGAAATTTTCCGAAAATTTCAAAAAAATTTTTTTGGATTTGGTATTGTGTTCTACATACCATCAGCTTTCCAAAAAGACCAAATACTTATATACATTTTTATTTATATTGGTATAAATATTGGAAAAATATAAATTATGTATTAATCATCCGTTAGAAAAAATTACATGCTGAGGGTTACAGTGTACAGTATATAATATTTATCTTTATTTTTTAACAAA